AGATTTTTTTCAAGGAAAAGAGTATAGCTTTTTGATGGTGTAAAACAAGACCCAGGTGTCCTTGATCATGTGGGTTTTAATAAATTGTCCTGGCAAATGGAACAGCTGGTCTTAGTTGGTAACCCAAGTCCTCTCTCCCCATCCTACACTTATCCTTCATTCATATTTGGGCTGAAATGCACTCATAGGCGGTGTCCCCATCTCAATTGATAATTGATTGATTGACTCTAAGCTGTCCTAAATGTTTTCCAATTTAGAATAGAATAGAATAGAATAGAAAAATTCTTTATTGCTCAATGTACATAATATACAGTTATTGTAAGCAATCACAATAGTATTGGACACAATTTTACTTATAGTATTTATACAAATATGCCTATGAACTTACACAAAATTTTTTAAACCTTAACTGTTTATAAACATGAGATATAATAAAGAGAATCATAGAGCAATAAAGCCCTAAGGTTATAAACCTGTGCGGGATCTATATATGAATCTTACACAAACTCAGTAAGTAGGGTAGAGAGTGCTTGGCCGGATCAGTACCACAGTTATACTACACAATATTTAAAAATAACATAAACGTGGCTTCTTCACATGAAACAATATTAACTTCCTTAATTCTTACGTCTTATTAAAGTATTAGGCATTGTTTAACAAACTATAACTAAGACTATAACTATCGAAGGAAAACACTATGTCTTTATATTAGAGTAGTAAAAAAATTGATTAATGTCATTATGGTTAAGTAAATAGTTACGTATAATTTAATTGAATTGGTTCTTGTTTTTACACTCTTTAATATAGTTTGGAAGTAGATTATAAAACTTTGGTGCTAAGTACAAAAAATATTTTTTGAAATGGGATAAATTGGGTCGCGGAACATACATTTTACCCACGTTCCTTAATGTGATATTGCCCTGGTTCATTCTGTTTGTATCACATCTATTAAAAAAAATTCTTAAAACGTATAAGTTTCTAAAGAGCAAAATGTTTAAACTTTGGAAAAGAGGTAGAGAAGGTTTGGTTTTTGTTTCGTTTAGTATTATTCTGACGAAGGCTTATTGTAGTGTGATTATTGGTTTTAATGTGGTAAAATATGTCCCACCCCAGATTTCTATGCCATATTCAATTTTTGAATTTATGAATGCGAAATAAATTGATCTAAGAAGCTGTATATAACATACGCTTCTGAGCATGTAGAATATACGGATGTATTTTACTAATTTTAGTTTTAAGTATGAAATATGTTCTTCCCAATTAAGTTGGCTGTCCACGTATAAGCCTAAATACTTTAGGCTTCCTACTTGCTCAAGGTCTTGACAGTTACAAATGTTAAAACTTGTAGGGCATGTTGCGTTGTGATATTTCAGGGATTTTGCGAAGTGTGTATGTTTTGTTAGGTTGAATATGATATATTTGGTTTTTGGGCTCATGACCATTAAATTTGATGTAAACCACCACCTCAGAGCATTCACGTTATGTTGCATTTTAGTATTTAACTCACATAATGAGTTTGCTTCGTATGACAGAGCTGTATCGTCAGCGAAAGCAACTAAATTACCTTTAAATTTGCCGTTACAAAGGTCATTGATAAAAATCAGAAACAAGGGACCGGACAAAACTGAGCCCTGTGGTATGCCAAGTTTTACCCGACCTTCCCCACTAACACAATTATTTGACCTTGTGGTTTGGCTTCGTCCTGACAGGTAGGAACGGAACCATTTTAGAGCAACTCCCCTTATTCCAGCATGATACATCCTTTCCAACAAAATTCCATGGTCTACCATATCGAATGCCTTCATCAGGTCTACGAAAATACCTCCACAGACTTTACCATTATTAACATTTGTGTAAATATCCGACATATACTCAATAAGAGCAGAACAAGTGTTTAATTTGCTTTGGAATCCAAATTGCTTTTTGCTAAAGAATTGATGCTTAGTTAAAAAATTTACCAACCTAACTTTTACTATTTTTTCGAGTATTTTTGATGAAATTGGTAAGAGGGCTATTGGTCGATAATTACTTGGATTATATCTATCATTCTTTTTATATAAAGGTGTAACGACTGCTTTTTTCAATTTAACTGGAAATTCCCCAGTTGCTAAATTTAAATTAAAAATGTAGGCTAAAACATGTACAATAGAATTAGCTATAGTTTTTATTATATTGGGAGTTAAATTATCATAACCTGGTGCTTTTTTACCATTTAATGAATTTATAATTTTCATTATTTCCTCCTCGAACGTTGGGTAAAGAAAAATTGAATCTTTAGTTGAGGTCCTTTTAAAGGTATTCCTGTAAGGGTCAAATACACGATTGATGTTTGCCTTATCGAACAAGATTTCGTTCCTCAAGTCATCAGCCACTGAGCAAAAAAAGTTATTTAAGGTATTCGTAACCTCATCGGGGTTGTCAATCAGTTGCCCGATTTCATTTTTTAATACAATTGGGGTACTACCTTTATGCTTTGCACCTGTTAACTCTTTTATCAAATTCCATTGGTTTTTACTATTTTTCATGTTATTTTCTAACTGGTCTGAAAAGTACTTATTTTTTGCATATCTTATTTGGTTTATAACTAAATTCTTAAAATGTTTGTATCTCTGTTCTAATGTTAGGTCATTTGGTTTTTTCAAGAAATCTCTATAAAGTTTGTTTTTAATTTTAATATTATGTTTTATAGTTGCATTCATCCAAGGGTTTTTAAAGTTTGATTTTATGTTTATAATTTTATTGGACTCATTAATGCAATGTTGTAGTTTATGTGAAAAATAATCAAAGGAAGTCGAAGCTGAATTTGTTGAAAAGACCGAACTCCAATCTGTTTTGTTTACAACTGTTTTCAAATGTGCAATGTCCAGTTTTGAAAATTGTTTGGTTTTACTATTTTCCTTAACTTGAACCGGTTTATTGTACCTCATACAAGCTACAGTTGACCAATGATCGGTTATACATGTTTTGATTACTTGGGCTTCACATATGAAATTACTGTTAAGTTTACTTCGTAAAAAGACATGGTCAATACATGTTTTTGTTAGCTTTGTAACCCTGGTGGGCTCATTGATTAGTGACTTAAGACCATGACTGGCCATTCTAATTAAGTATTTATCACATAAAATTGATTTATCAATAATGTTAATATTAATATCTCCATTTATCATTAAGTTAGCGGTTTTAATTAATGCTAGTATTGTATCTAATTCATCAACGAAATTGTCCGCGGCGAATTCATGTAATCTATAAATCGCCAAGATTTCAAAGGAATTATTGGCGATTAAGGATATTTTTAAATGCACACAATCAGCTGTTATCATATTTGTGCTGTCAACTGGATAGCTGTTATCTTATCAGTCACAAATACAACTACTCCACCTGATCTTTGATTAGAGTTACATTTTACAAACATTGAATAATTAGGTAGGCTGTAGAAATTTACCTCGCTTGTATCAATCCAAATCTCTGTTAAAATTATAATATCTGGCATTTGATCAATGGAATGTAATTCCGAGACAAATGAATCAAAATTTGTCCTTAAGCTACGAATGTTTTGCTGTAACACTACGATATCATTTGAACAAAGATTATTAAAGCTAATACTATTCATTTGAATGATTAAACCTCAATGTACAATTGCACTTCCATTTCTGAATAAAAGACCAAAGACACAAAAGACAAAAAGTATCATCAAGAAAATAATACTGTTTACTGTTCGGAGGAGGCCGCATCCTGAGAATCAGATGAATTCGGCGACGCTGGCGCAGGTGCAGGTTCAGGGGCATGTCTTGGTAGCTTCCCCAAGTCCTCCATTGTAGTGACTGCAATGTATAAATGTTTGAAAGTATTTCATAAAAAAAACTTATATGAAAGCAATCATATTTATTTTCATTATACCAGAATTTCCATTTGTATTTTTAAAGTTAATTAAAATATTTTTTTTTCTTAAACATGTCAAGTGTAATTCTTTTATAGTTAGTAGGGTTACAATATTAGGGGTCTTTAATAATAGTGCCTTTATACAATATGCTATTTAAATAATATAACATTTAATTTTATAACTTTTATAGTTAAGATATTAGAGCTTTGTTGCTGTAGGGAAAGGAAAAATAGATTTTATATAAAATTTTAATAGTATAGTATGAAATCAATAACTTTGTTAAATTTGATCAAAATTCAGTGTGTCCCAAAAAACGGAACTATTAAGTTACATTGCAAATATTTAATTAACAGGCTTATAAAACTTAGATAAATGTAAAGTAACACATATATTCTTAAGTTTTTTTTCTGGATATAAGTGTAGTTAAAAAAACCTCGACATGTCTTCCATTGTTGACAAAAATACAGTCAATACGGTAAACTCTGACCCCACTACATGTCACTTTAATATATGATGTTGCTGAAAGCTGCATTGATTATTGATTCTCAATCTTAGTTCTCAAACATTGGACACCATCGACTTGTTAACTTGGTCTTTGAATCCCATGGTGTTAGATTTTGTTTCAATTTACCTTTCACTACACTGAGCTTTCTCTGAAACATTCTGTACGTTATGTTTTAAAGTTTAAAGCATTGAGTAACAACAATGGATTAGCTGATACATGCAAATCATGCTGGAAAAATTATGAGATCCTCTATCATATGGTCATTTTAAAAATTACCTAAGGATGCCAAAATAAAATATATTAGGCTTCATAGTTGTTCATTTTTTTAATTTGTTATGGTTGTAATTTTACTCAAATGTTTCTATAAATAAGTCATATAATTAAACTGAGGCTACTTAAGTTTCAGGTTTGCTGCTACGGGAAGGTTAACAAGCGTTTTAGTAACTTATGGTAATAGCTTATTCCCTATATGGGAAATTCGCTAAAAGATTGTTGCATATTTTTATCATATTTTGTTTGATTTAATTTATAATTGAATTACAACATGTAAATTAAATATAGTTATTTGTTATTTCCATAAGAGAATTTATGTAATCTTAAATGAAAGAATGCAACAAGAGTCGTTAATATTTTATTTGCTGATACAGTAACACAATCTTGTGTTGGACAGTTTGATTAAAACTGTTTTATAAATAGATTTTCCCTTATCTTCTAAATAACCATCTCCATGGTCTATTTGATGATGTGATAAAGTCTCCAACATTCAGTTTAATTGCTGTATAGTATTCTTTCCTCTCTGTAACGGCCACTGTTATTTCTCTTTCATAGTATTCATTATTCTCGAGCATAAATTTCGTTTTATATCCAGTTGAGGTTTTTGATGATTTAATCTGTAAGCCACTGCAAGAGGACACTCTAAAACTTTCCAAAACTAAGCCAGTGTCGTCAATGAGTGAAGCTATTACGATTGTATCTATGTTACCATTAATATCATGGCAATAGGCATTACATTGTATCCTATCATTAGATAAGAGTCCCCATAATATTCCCACTTTCAGAGTCTTAGTTTGAGGGCTTCTTTTTAAGTGATGGTACATTTTCATGTTTTCAAAGTATCTCATGTCAAAATAGTTATCTCCACTTGGCAAAATATTTACTGAAAATTAATATTTCATAGTTATATGTAGTATAAAACTGTAAGACACATAATATTATAAGCTATGTACGTTGTTGAAAGTGAATGCCTTTTATCAGAAGGTAGTTAAAGAAAATCATTTTGAAATACAGCATGTTTTTTTTACGCAAGCCAAATATTAAAAGTGATGTTTGATAACAAAATCAAATGATATGCATTTTTGCATGCACATCTATCTCAAGGTTGAGGGATATTGTAAACTAGCTGTGTGCCCGTTCTACGTTCGGGAATCTTGTAGTCAGTTGAAACCTTAAGTCATAAGTAAGTCATAAGTCATTTATTTTCAGAATAGGTTCAATTTGTTACAATTATACATCTCAGTGGTCAATGAGAACTAAATTAATAACATTTAATAAATAAGATAGACAGTAGATAAAAAATAAAGATATAATCAGCCAGACATAAATTCGATAAAACTGTACCGTTCTTTTTTTACAAGGTATGATTTCATTTTTTTTTCGACTAAACATTCCTTTATACTGGTTGGAAGACGGTTAAACATCTGTATACCCGCTGTAAAAGTTTCTCTTTCAGACAGGGACCGGCGGATTAGTGGAAGAAGAAGATCTGAGCCATGTCTTGTGGGATACCTATGTCAATCTCCGACAGCAGGAAGAGACCCAATTTTATTCTTGATAAAAAGGACAACTTTAAAAACATATAGGGAATAAAGTGTGAGTATGTTAAGATTTTGAAAAATTCCGCTACAAGAGTGCGAGGATGGGAGACCAGATAAAATACGAACGGCTCGTTTCTGTTCCGATATGTTGTCTGCATGTGTGGAACATCCCCAAACCTCTATACCATATGATATAACAGGCTGAAAGCATCCATGGTAAACATTGATCAGGTCCCTCAGATCAAGCAAAGAAACCGATGTTCTCAAGGCAAGATTCTCATTATATTCAGATCAACAGATGGATTAATATTGAGTGCGCTGTTTTCCAGATATTCTTGCAAACCTATTATAAGTTAACTCTCAACATTCGAAAACACAATATCTGATAGTTACTTGGCGTGCTATAATCAGTATAAAAAAGCATGCTTTGTCAGGTAACTGTAAGAAAACATATTAGTTTGTTTTGTCAACAGTCTCTAACAGTACTTGAAATTGAGATTACGTTTAGAAAAAAAACCCTTTATACAACCCATAAGGAATTAGAAATAAAATTATTAACTCTTTGATCGTACACAGTGTATTTGTATTGTCTTTAGGTTGATGTTTAATTTTTTGTTGACATATTTAGGAATTTGTACCAGGGCTACGATTATAAGTAAGAGCTAGTAAAAAACATATTCCACGTGATTCCCACTAAATAATTATCACGCGCAGTACATTGTTATAAAGGTAAATCAGGATTAGCACACGCTCAAAAATAAATCCATGTAGGGATTATTAATTAACCTGCTTATCAACGAGGAGTTAAATAATTCTGTTAATAATAACTATGTAATCGATTTAATAAATAAATGGGTACTGATATCTCACCTCCCTTTGATTTCTCAAGGGGTGTGCCTGGGGGGAGTGCCTTCCTGGAGCACATTTTGTTTACCCTGTACACTGCAAATCTGTCCAGATGTGTGAGGCACTGCAACGTGCATTCATATGCTGATGATTGCCAGTTGCATTTCTCGTACGAGGTTCATGCCAATGAGCAAGCTTTTGCGAGTGAACTCTGATCTGGAGAGAATAAGTGAATGGTCATGCAAACATGGTTTGCAATTGAACGCTTACAAATGCACTGTTCTTCATATTGCTCCACCCACTACCCAAGCTACCAGGAAACCCATTAATGGTGAGAGATACCGTCAAGACGTTGGGTATGATACTTGACAGAGGCCTCACATTTCGGACCACATTACTTATGTTTCCCAGGTGGCTTTGGGAAGGCTGCGTGGTCTGTACGGGTACAAAAACATCCTACCAGAGACAGCCAAGCTGCAGGTGGTACAGTCACTAGTGTTGTCAGTGCTGCATTACTGTTTTCCTGCATACGGCAACGGCATCTCAAGGGAAGAGATGCCCCGTTTGCAAAAAGTGCAGAGCTCCGCCGTTCGTTTCATCATCGTTCATCGGTATCCGTAAACGTGAGTGGGTATTCTCTTTCAGTACTTCAAGTACTTGGTGGAAAGGCTTGTGGCACGTGGGGAGATGACCCAACGCGAGACCCGGCACAACACCTTGCTCCACTTTAAAAAAAAGCGCCTGGAAGTGAGTAGGAAAGGGTTTTCCTACTTTTGCCCAAATATCTAAAATGATCTTCCCTTAGACCTAAAACAGCTGAGGGTCCTGGCTTTTATACGTGAGTGGGTATTCCCTTTCCGGGAAAATGCGGGGGTTACTGTCAATGGATGCCGTGTGCAGGGCACATACTTGTAGCCTCATCCACCGAGTCTTGGTTCAGCAAGAGCCTACTTGGTAAGTAATACTTTGTGTAGTAATAGTAGTAAGTAAGTTGTAATAAGTAAGTACTTGGTGGAGAGGCTTGTGGCACGGGGGAGGTGACCCAACGCGAGACCCGGCACAACACCTTGCTCCACTTTAAAAAAAATGTACCTGGAAGTGGGTAGGAAAGGGCTTTCCTACGTTGGCCCAAAGATTTAAAATGATCTTCTCTTGGACCTAAAACAGCTGGGGGTCCTGGCTCTTAAAAGAAACTTAGAAAATGTATTTACAGTATACAATAGTGGTATTATTTCTATGTTATCACACGATGTCTTTTATTATAATAGTGTTGTATTTTTAGTTAGTATTTGACCTGAGTTACTCTGTAAAACAGTTAAATTGTACTGAGAGACGCTCGGAAATAAAGGAATTTTTATTTATTTATCTATTTATTCAGACAATAGTTAGGATATTATCCAAAACCTTTTATAGGAATATTAGGAAACGCAATTTTTTTTTTAAATAAGAAAACAGTAACACGATATTGTACAATTAGATTATAATAACTATAGATAGCCCTTCACTCACCTATACCAAAGGCTGGGTTGTCAACCAACGGGGATCTCAGTACCTAAACAAAAACATATATTATGTACCATACAACATATAATTATATAACTTTATGAGAACTCCTTTTAAATCGGAACAGAAATTGTCACTATCACTTGCCCTAGTTGTTTAACATATTTTCTGCAAAACAAGTAGTGAGCTTATTGGTGTTTGTATAAATTTTGGTAATTGTGCCTACAAAACCTAAGTATATCGTGTTTATAAATTATTTTATCATCTGTACCAAGGACGTGATGATTATGGACGTGATATTTTAGGTTAAATTTAGAGCAAGATTAGTGCTATTGGTTCAGAACGTTCTTTTTCTGTAAGTTAGCACTTTTATATCCTACTAATATTATAAATGTGAAAGTATTTATGTTTGTGTGTAACTCTGAAGTTCCACCACGTGAATACTACTGGACTGATTGAGCTGAGAGTTGAAGAGATATTTGATATTAGAGTTTGCATGTTATTCTTATATGAGTATTCATATTTCAAATTAATTAAAGAATTTTGCCAGCTGTTTCAATTGATCAAAACGGTTCTATGATATTTAATAGCATAAAAAATTTACGGGATATTCCAATAGGTGCAGCACTATTATTTTTTCCATTGATGACAACAGGTAAAAAGTAAGCAGCAACAAAAAATTAGAAGTGTCAGAGTAGGATTGTTTACAGTTATGTTTATGTCTTAAATTTAATAAATTATTTGTGGTATTTTGCAAATGTTTGATAATTAAATTTTTCTATTGTTTAGGGGCAGTGGTAGAACATTATGGCTATGGTAGATGTGTCATACTATAGCATACAGTAGATAACAAAATATAAAAAATTCTCAAACCACGTCCCCCTTTGCAAACGCAACGCACGAGTATAACTGCAATATGAATTTTTTATACGCCAACCCCGTACGAAGTACAGTTGCCGAAATAGATGCACAATAAATAGGCGTATTATACTTCATAACTGTTTGGTCATACCAGCCACATTTGAATGACTATATATGACACAAGTGTCATAAATGCAAGGTGTAATCAAAATCGTTCGTCACCCGGAAACAATGTCGTAGGCCTTCACTTCTTCATTAGAAGGCTAAATAAGTTGATTTTAGCAGAAAATATTCAATACCAGATCACATACAGTATTCCAACCTCACAGTATACATTAATTAAAATTTGAAGTCTTCATAGCTAATTTAACGATCGCTGAAACAGAACGTTTGAAAGTGCATTGATCATTGGTGTGTATCACGCTTCCTAAGTAAAAAGAAATTCAGTACGCATATGTGACATTAAACTCACTTGTTCCAAACCTTCCGGACATTCAACATATTTTAGTTCTGATCGATTTACTAGAGCATAGGTCTTTTTCTTTTGTTCAACATATGTTCTTTTCTTACATTTCAACTGTCCATCTTTGATGTGCCATGCATACGTTATGGTAGTTTCAGTGGCTTTCACTATAATTTCAGGACAGTATAGTCTTCTAATAGAAGTACATGCATCTTTTTTAAAATCATACAAGAATCCAGCCATACTCCACCGACTTTGTAGATGTCAGCTTTTACAATGTCCTTATTGTCCTCATCGTTTACTGGCTCCTTATTGTATTTTCCACATACTATGAGAATATCGCCCTCTACACCTTGGTGGTTGTCGCTAGGATACTCTGTCTCTTCGGCGTTCAGCACCTCCGAAGTGAATACGATTTGTGTTCCCGTTCCTTGCTCTAGCCACCAGTCTTGTAAAACTGAAATACAATGCGAATTTGAAAACAACATAAAACACTAATAGGTACAGCATTACTACATCCAAAGGGCATTTCATTTCATTTTTTCTATAAGTTCTATAAGTATTCTGTTCTATAAGTCCAAAAAATTTAAATTATCATTTTTAAACAAACTATTTATCGTCGTTAAAACATGTATACGTTAAGCATGTTCTTGACTAGACTAATACAGTACCATTACGACTAGGGTAGTAAATCCTACCTCATACAATTTTGCTAAAAGTAGAGAGACAACATTTTTATTTTAATAAATTGTATCAGCCAATTAATGAATAATATTTTAATCTATATCTATAAAAGAGGAAGTATGTATGTATGTATGTATGTATATGCCCAATGGACTCCGAAACCGCTTAACATATTGTACTTTCATGCATTATTAGGCATTATTCAAGGATGGTTTGTTTGAAGTTTGGTGCATTTCCGCCAAAAGGGCTCCGCCCCAGATGGTTTTAAAAGGTCACATGTCAGACTTTTGGAACTGTAATGAAAATTAGACCAATTCGTATATACCGTGGCAAAAATGTGGTTCGGATTCTACTATAAACTGTAGGTCCCTTCGTTGCCATTAGCTGTATGGGCTATTAATTAACAGCTGTGTCTAAGGAATAAGTCGGCCTTAGTTACTAACAAGACTACAAGATCGCGTCACTTATCCTACACTCATCTCCATTCATCCTTGGCTTAAAATACCTACTTTGTATGGTCACCATTTCATTGAAAAAGTATGAAGTAAAAGTATAAAAGTACAAATAAATATGGTTTAAAAGCATATGTTTACTATCACTAACTTTTTTGTTGGATTGAATAATCACAACATTCTGTATTAGTCATGATTTGAAACACTCTTAACATAAATTATTAAGTGAACAATAATCGTGCGTGCTGTCTCAGTTATTCAAATGTCTCCCAATTTGTCACTAACCCACTACATTTCTTTCATTAAAAGAAATAACTTTAATAATAATAATGCAAAGCTTAAATCCACCCAAGCTGTGCAACGGAACCAGACTGACGATTTAAAAAATGACAACAAACTTGATCGAAGCAACAATCATCAGTGGTAAGTTTAAAGGAGAAACAGTCTTAACCCTAAGAATACCGATGTTTTCATCCGAATTACCCTTTGAATTCGAGTGACTGCAATTTACTTTGCGTCTTGCTTTCGCAATCACCATTATAAGACACAAGGGCAATCCCTGACTATCGCCGGTTTACATTTAGTAAAATACATTAAGTTCGTGCTTTTCTCACGGACAGCTGTATGTTGCGTGCTCATGTGGTGATAGATACGCCTAAAAACTTATATATTTATACACCTAATGAAAAAAATAAAAACATTTTTATCCAAAGGCATTTAAGTAAAATAAATATTCTACTTTTTTTTAATACATATTTATTAATGATCGTAAAGAAAAATTACCATTTAAAATAATAGTTTTTTGCGCAGCAACGATCATGCTATACTTTCAAAACTACATATTTTGACTGTCTATGATCAATATATACCAGAATGTGTGTTAAAAATCAACTACACAATTTGGAAATTAGAAAAAATATCCATTCATATGACACTAGAAATAAGAATGTTATAAATTTATAAAAACATAATCTCAACTTCTTTGAAAAAAATTAAACCTTTATGGGATCAAAATATTTAATTCATTTTCTTACGAAATTAAAAAGTAAAATAAACCAAAATAATTTAAAAACTAGTTAAGAATCATCCGTTGCAAAAGAGTTATTATTCATTTGAAGAGTTTTTTTTTATGTAAAAACGACTAAATAAATAATGTTGAGGTGGTCTGATGGAAAAAATAAACGATGAAACTGTATGCGATTTCTACTTTTCTGCAAAGTGAAATAAAAACGCATAAAAATAAGTTATAGTATGACATTGGCATTTGACACTGTTCATGTATGTACATACAATATGAATAGAAATTTTGTTTTTGATTTTGATTTTGACCGCGCGCCGGGTAACTACTAGTATCTATATGTAAATTGAAAATGCTACGAACTACAATAAAAATAATATCCTACCTTGACCATCTTTTATAGCAGCGACTTCAGCATTACGTTCCCAATTTAATACCTACAACATAAGCATAATGTTAAATTGTATATAGTACTTTATGGGTTTAAAATGTAGACATTTTATAAATTACTAAAACATGTCAATCAAATCAAATCAAAATCGTGTTTATTTCAGAAAGTAAAATATTGTATTAAAATACTTCGCCACTAACAATTTTATAGTTATGTAATAATAGCTATATATATGTAATAATATACTGACATACTGTAGTGATTTAATATGAAATGCCTCTCACATAGGCTACTGACCGTGCGTGCGAGATTTTCGCTATCAGGAATTAAATATTAGAAATTGAAAAAATAGATATTTATGGAACATGACTTGACAGTTAATTGATCTATATCTATATTTATAAAAAAGGAAGTATGTATGTATCAAGTATACTCTTTGCCTTTTATATATATAGATACACTACATTGCAGAATTTACTGGTAAATGACTAATCCAAATGTAATATTGCTTACTGGCTTGAGAAATCACGATCAGCTTTATTGATGTAAACAAAAATCTGCAGTAAATGTCTTCTAATGCTATTCTTATGTAGACAATTTTTATGTTTATATCAAATTTAGTGTTAGCATTTTGGAAATTTAACTATTTTTCCCGCCGTCACGGGGTCGAGACCTTTAATTTGAGCCCTCTCCCGCCATTCTAAGTCTTCCCAGTCGACCACCATTTTGACGCAAAGAATCGGCTTACGTAATAAATATATATTATTTATTGTTGTAAATTAAATTACAAGATGGAGTTATGAATATATTAAAACATCTTACTCATATATTTGAATCACAATAAAACTGACGAATTGATGTACTAAAAAAAAAAATAAAACTAGCTTACCAGAAAATAAATAGATACTAGCAAAAGATTCTTCATGTTTTCATTTCACTGGAATCTATCGAATCCACAAGCTAACTGAGCTTACAAGGTCGATCTCGGCCGTTTTCAAACACACCTGGTCATTAAATGATCAGCCATGTTGGTTATGTATGTTGTGCAAGTGGTGGAGAATATCCAATGAAACTACAGTATTATTTTCTTATAAACTTTAGAACATTATTCTTATGATGAATATTTTCACATAAAAAAGCTTCATTATCACAAATAATACATTCCGTGAAATGTACTATTTTGTATGTCTAATGTCTATTTTTTTTAATTTTCTACAAATGTTCATTGCTCAAAACATGCTACATTAGAAACCATAACCAAACATCTGGATGCATGTCTTATATCTTGTATCCTAAAGGACTACTAAGCATCGATGCTATAATTCACTACGTCTATGCTACTGACCTTTTTTATTAAGAGAGGAAATTATATAAATCAACATAATGACGTTTATTTTTAAGTACTTTCTTTTAAATTGATTACAACAGTATTTGTACACTTTTTCAATATAAAACCCTTTTTTTGTTTGGTATTCATTCAGATATTTCTACTCCACTGGAGCAGTTCCGCTTAGTTAGACTTCATACGTGTCTTGTCAGTTAAAAAAAGATCGTGAAATAATATAACCGTCATAGCAAACCTGCAGAATGAGCGAATTTTAATCTATCTAATTGGATTTTTTACTCAAATATTTATATTTAATAGTGTGATATTAACTCTAACTTCATGGACATGAAACTCTAAATCACTGTTATAACTTTCATCCAGGTTTTCTAGATAATTCCGCGATAAGCAATCAGCAATGTGCATTTCCGCACCAGGCAAATATTGAGATTCCAGGTTATATCTCAACAATTTCAACAACATCCTCTGCATTCTAACTGAAACCTCGTGTAGTGGTTTCTTCATTATTCCGATAAGAGGTTTATGGTCCGTGTAATATATTTATATAAGTAATATAACAGTTTTTACTATTTAATAATTTACAAGGCTATGTTGGCAATATTTAAATATGTACGTTGAACTGTAACCGTTTGTATTTCCCACTACCAGTTAATAATATTTGAATAAACGAATGCTATTGGACGATCGGGTCACGCCACTTCCCCAACCCATGAGTCCATGTTAACCGACACCTCTACACCTCAGTTATAGCCAGCTTCCATCCTGAGTAACTCCGGCCCGTTCGGTCGTTAGCAGTTTTACAGTGTTAAACCGTAGTGCTTATTAACTTCCCGATTCCCGTAGTGTAAGACGTCAGGGTGACGTAGTGACTTAGTTACAGTGTATAAGGATAGCACCGTGTCAACGAAGGTACGTCAGGGTGACGACACTTCAGTCCGTTTGAACAATTGTGTGCTTCCCATAAATGTAGTAATGAAATTTCTCAACAGCATATACTATTGCCAGTAATTCCTTCTCTTTTTGAGAATAGCGTTTGTGTATTTCCGTCATGCTCCGAGATGCATAAGAAATTACTTTACCTTCTGAAAGAAGTACACTTCCGAGACCACACTTGGATGCATCTGTTTGGATTGTAACTGATTTATTAGGATCGAAATGAGCCAAAATGGGAGCTTTCGTAAGAAGCAAGTTTATTTTTTCAAAAGCCAAGCCGTGATCATGAGTCCAGTTCCAGGTGGAGTCTTTTTTCACTAACTCCCTCATCGGTGCTGAGATATTAGCAAGGTTGGTTAAAAATTTAATGAAGTATTGAACAAGTCCAAGGTAGGTTTGCAGCTGTTTAACATTTTTAGAGTGTTTCATCTCAGTTATGGTATTGATCCTCTGATCATTTATATTAATGCCTTTTGCACTAACAAAGCCTAGAATCTTTATCGATGACTGCCTGAATTGAAATTTACTTTCATTGAATGTTATACTATTTTGTACAGCTCTTTCCAGCACTTTAGCCAGTGTTTTGTCATGAATTTCTTGGGTGGGGGGCTGTTATGTACAAATGATCAATGTAGATTTTTAAATTCTCGATATCAGCAAATATTTCATTGTTTTTTCGCTGGAATAATTCACTAGCAGGGGATAAACCCATTGGACATCTGACGAACCTGTAACGACCAAAAGGAGTTCCAAAGGCAAACAGATCTGAAGACTCTTTAGAAATCCTGATAAAAAATGATTCTTTCAAATCTAAAGCAGAAAAATACTTCTTAATAATTAAATAAACTATGCCAGAAACTATAACCTCCTTTCATACATTTAATATTTAGTTTGTCAACATCCAAAAAGTTATTTAAGTTATCGGTTGCACCCTCAAATTGTACTCTACATTTGAAGTTCGTTTGTTGAAAATATGGCCAATTATGACACAAACCTATTTTGAAATTTAAACAAGTCACAGTATCGGTGTATCGTCCTTTCAGGAAGTTTTAAAAATCTTGTTTTTTCCTCCCTCACGAATTGACATATCAATAAAATGTTTGATTCGTGTTAAAAAAATATTCTTTGGCAATTTATATGATCCGTTAAATATTTTTACTTACGCTTAAAACATTTTTTCGTAAAGTAGTTTTTTTAAATATTTTTTTATCTATTGAATAACATTTAAATCTAAATTTAGTTTATTTAGTAATATAGTTGATAATTTTTTTATCAAGCCAGTCCGTTAGTCTAAATAGGATTGAAGTGTTTACATAAAAAGTAAAAACGCTAAAATATAAGTCTGGAAATAATTTAAACCATAGCTTATTATAAAAAGAATTGACTTCCCGCAAACTTTTAAACAGTAATTTAATAATATTTATTCTGATAGCCCCTCGACTACGTATATATGACTTTTAGGCTTACCTTCGCCAGTAGTCCTAATTACGCAAACGACACATATGCATTGCAACGAAACATATGTCAGCTGTAAATAATTATTGAAATGTATTAGTAGCGAGCCTAAAATACCAACGGTTATCGTATACCGTAACTGTACTTCGCTGATATTAATATTGTGGCAAAATTAGTAAAATGTAATGGTGATATGAAAAAGTCAAATATGACCATTTCAAACATACAACTTGTTATCAAACTTTTATTTGTAATTTTTTACACAACCCATACAAGAGTACAGCTGAAAAAACGTGTAAGACAACATTTATAATTTGTCGTAGGAACTGGTTAACAAAATTTGGGTTTGCACTTACGACTGCTCAGGTGGCGTCAAATATAATCTTCTTCTTTAATATTCCTCATTGGATGATCTTTTTTTTCAAAATCTCTTATGCTATTTTGAAACATAATATTGGCCTGACCTATATCTATACAATATACATAAATGACAATACCTTGAAGACGTAGGATCCCGCATAACAACCAAGGATATAAAATTGATTGATTAAAGGATACCAACTACAACTGTGGACGAAAAGGAAGAAACTTCTGAAGAGAAATGCTTATGGATAACCGGTTTAAGACATGTCAATCGGATCAAACTTGTAAAAATTACAATGTGGCTCCTAACAAACAACCATAGGACTAAGGGGTTTTAGAGAAGTTCCCTTATAGGGATGAGATATTACAGTTTGCCCTAGGGTAAGAACTGGACTCGGGATCGATTTAAAATTTCGTGATAAGGTCCCCTGAGGCCAAAATACTTGTTCAAATTCACATTTTCATATAATGTGTGTCTGTTACCACGATTACTCGAGCAAATATTTTCCGATTTTAATGAAATTTGGCATATACGTTTAAACAAAAGTTTATTTGAACAAGTTCACGACCCATGATCGAACTATGGGAACGGGGTTTTTATCCTTATCAACCCCCCCCCCCCCCCCCGGTATCCCTTATTAACCCGTTTCCCCTTGGGCTTGGGTTAATGGGGTGAAAATTGATTTATTTTTTATTTTTTGTGTAAAAACATACAATTTTACATAACCATTTTGTAGAGCTTAAAAAAACCGTATTATATGCTAAGTGGTCAAGAGAAAAACTGTAAATTTAAAATGTCTATGTTATTCTTATGAATAAATTAAGTTAACTGTTGTAGTTTGCTTATTATTGACCATATGTTGATCAAATTTATAAAATGTATTAATTTCATACTAAAATATTAATACTACACTAAAAACACTTTATTACCTTCCTTGTAGCAGCAAACCTATGTACTAAATTTTTTAAATGGGTATTAATAGTCAAAGGTTTAAGTCAGTATAACATTTTATAGTAGGTATTTGAGTAAAAATCGATTTAGGAAGATGGGAATTCGGTTTGTTTGCAGGATTGCTGTAGTGGGGCTGTTTTATGTACATGTTGTTAAGGTGATTAATTAATTAATTTAATTTAGGAACGTGTGGATATTTTGGGCTTTATAATAATCTTTATATTTTTTTCTTATAAATATAATAAATAACGGGAGTAAATCAGAACTTTGAATTATTTTTTAGTGCTATTGAAGTAGACAATTATTTCCAAATTTATTTATCCTGAAAACTGTATGAGCATTGAATTTAAATAAAATATAATGTACTCCCTACAAAATTAAAGGTATCGACAGGTTGGGGAAATGTAATGAATTACAAAGGGCTGAAGGTGGGAAAATTTATATTCTCGAATGTTACCAGTTTGGTAGAGTGAGAATGAGAGACGACATACGAGCAGCTAATTTATTGATTCTTGACATTCTGAAAGGCATTTTTTCGGGCGTCACTGCTCCATAAGGCCCCTTTTAAACTCGGCGTGTTCGACGGCCCTGTAAGTGCATTGAGTTAAATGGGTGCTTTTATATTCTGCGGCCGCCGCATTCCGCTGCGGCTGGCTAGAAGCACGACGGCGCACCTACGAGCAGCAGAAACGTGCGGAGGTGCATGGCGTTATATGTAAGCTTTTATACTTTGCGGCGTGGCGCAGTGGCGCTTTCTGTTGCCGGTGTGGTATGTGATTTTGTTTTTCTCTTCTGAGCATCAGTTTGCAGGTTTTGTGTATGTTATATGACGGATCCTTGTACGGATTGACGGATTGAAGTACATATAGAAGTTCCTAAGTTGGTAGCCCTGATACCCCCACTGATGCCATAGCCGCCGCACAAACATACGGCACCCGCCGTCGAACGCGGTGACGTGCGGCGCGCCACAGGAGCCTATTTGAAATATGCTGATCCAAAATGCAGTATTTATATTGAAGGCACTGCTCCAAAAATAAGTTTCAGAGTAATTATGCCTTTAGGCACACCGACTGGACACATAATAAGATTACAGCTGGTTTAAGATTTTAATAAATTGAACTTTGCATGCTACTGGCTATGTTTTAGTCCCATAGTAACTTTTAGAGCACCTTTTAATGAAATGTTTATCATATTATTGATTTTAAATTGACGTAATATAATTAATGTTGAACACATTAATTTTATACGTCTAACTCAGATAACTAAATAAAATTAAAAATATTCAAACATTTATTTACAATGACAATATTTACATAGCTGCATTTTTATCTTTTTCAAATCATTTAGACAAATAATTTGGGTTTATTTCAGCTTCTGTCATGCAGTTCTACAAAATAGCCTTCTGTGTTGACTAGTGTTATAGCCAGACTTCTTGACATTGTAAATGTCCATATCCGTAGTCACTCTGAACCTACGCAGTATATGGACAAGTATTATGTTGACTAGGTGATCCGAGTAGGTCTTTCCTACAACATACACAAGTTTTAGGCTCATATAGCTTAAATCACTTTGAGAATAGAATAAGAATGACGGTACTTAAAACTGGTCTATGTAAAGGCTTTTTCATGTGAGTATTACTTGAATGAAATTGTTTTTTTTTTTGGGGGGGGGAAATCCAAAGGTGGTCACAGTAGTGTTGTCAGACTGCTTTATTTTCAAAATGTTCATAAAATTAAAAAAGTTGCCTATAATTTTGTCAAATAATTGTTTATTTCTCAGAGAAAACGTCAACACAAAGTTAAAAACGAAAAATTGTCTAAAACTGTATTAGTAGGTTTCGCTTTACATAAGTTTCAAATGGTCTCACCAAATATACATATACAGGTGTATCACAATTTTTAGGAATGAATAGATGCTTCAGTTTTATTATAATGTAGCTAAAGATAAAAACACTCTTTTAAAATACGTTTAGGCTTCTTATCTAAATATATAAAAGGCAAAGCCCTCACTGACTGACTCACTCACTCACTCACTCACTCATCACTAATTCTCCCACTTCCCATTTACCTAGGATGCTGAAATTCGGTACACTGATTCTTTCGGCATTAAATAGGAAAACTAAGTAGTTTTTATTCTGATCGGGCTTTCGGGCTCCGCCCCAGTGGCTCTGGATTTTCCCATGTTAACCTTATGAGTACTCATATTTAAATGGAATTAATGAATCTTAACAGCTGTTTCACTTAAACAAGTTGGTTCTGTTCTATGATGTTCAATAGCATTAAAGTTAAAAGGATTACCAACAGGGTGCAGCACTGTTATTTTTTTAAATTTATGACTACAGCCAATTTGCAACCAAAAGGTGAGTGAGCGTAGCGAACGAACTTCAACCTGGAAGCGAGTTAGCGTAGCGAACGAGCTAACCTGAAGGCAAGTGAGAGAACGAACGAACTTCAACCAGGACGTGATTGAGCCATGCGAACGAGCTCACTTGTGAAGTTAAACGGGGCAAAGCCCGCGGGTACAGCTAGTAACGTTATAATTTTAAATAATAAACGCTTTTCCTGAATTTTTGCCGTAATATTTCTATAAAAAAGCTTGTTTTTTAGTTAAAACAGATACAGAATACTGTGAGGACCAAGGCTTTACTACATCTGGTGGCTTTACCCCTCGTGGTTCTATCTCTGGGGGCTTTACGCCCGATGGCTTTACACCTGATGGCTTTACACCTGGTGGATTCACCCTTGATGGCTTTACACCTAGAGGCCTTACCCCTTGTTGCTTTACACCTAGCTTTACGTCAGGTGGCTTTACCCCTACCTTCACCTCAGGTAGCTTTACCCCTAGTTTTACCCCTAGCTTTACACCTAGCTTTACCCCTGGTGGATGTACCCCTGGCCTTACCTCTGATGGCTATACCTCTGGTGGCTTTACCTCGGGTGGCTTTACGCCTGGTGGCTTTACACCTGGTGGCTTTACAGCTGGTGGCTTTACACCTGGTGGCTTTACCCCTAGCTCTCATTTAAATAAATGATAGTAACTAAAAAATACCCCAAATATTGATTAGCTAAAAATAAAATATTTTATATTTTTCATCTTTGTAAACTTTTACTTTCTACTCCATTTTCCAAAGCAGGACTAAATTACAACACGAGGAATTAATTTGCACGTATTATGCTATGGTTATTAGGTGTTTACTTATTGTAAATATAATAAATAACCAGTTTTGACATTCTGCCACGAAGGCAACTAATTTAAAAGTATGAGATGTAGGGCTTAGGTAGTTTTTTTTTTATTTGTAGGACAAAAAAGAAGAGTCTAAAGTGCTTACCAATACACATTCTGCTGCCGGAACTAAAGGGGATGAATGCATCGCGACTGGTAGGGGTGGTGTTGCCGACAGAGAAACGGTCAGGGTCAAACTGGTCCGGGTTCGGATAAATATTAGGGTCCTTCAATGGTCCAATTAGACATACAACCACAGAGTTTCCAGCAGGGATAGTGCAGTTGCCTGAAAAAAGTGTGATAACTTCTAATTCTTTTAGAGTGAAAAATTCCATAGTAGTTATCGTTGCAATCTCAACTAATCATAATAGCCTATGTTATATAAATTTGAACGTTGACATCCACTCCACTTGATGCAGAACTAACATAATAGAAACTTACACTTAAGAGCGACAGTAGTACTGCGAACTGGTTGAAAACAGTACAATACCTGTATGCTGCAACATTTTAGATACAGGCATTTACTTCTGCTTTTGGTTAACCATTTCTTGTATTTTAATAGAATTTAAATGTCGAAGTCTAATGGATGTTTGAGTTATCTAAGGCTTTGTCTAAGCACCGTAAATTGTAGGATTCTACAACGTCTGGTGTATGCACAACTCATGAGTTTACTTTTTTGTTGCAGAGCTAAAATAGAGAATTACTCCAGTGGAAGTTGGCGATAAGCGTAATTCATTTGTAAGCTTCGCTTCAACTTAGGTATTTAATATGCTTCTTTATCCAAATTGTGTGTGCCTACAGATTTTTATACTGATTTTCATATTTTAATAAGATGGGACGAATACAAAATAAATATTGAATAGTTAACTCTTTGAAAATGTATACAGTTTATAAGTTTGGGTCCAAGAACTGTCCTATTTAAAAAAAAACTTCATTCAAGGATGATTTAGATAACATGATCCAATTAAACATTTCTGTAGTTTCCTTTTAAAATATTAGCAATAAGCTTCATGAAATGTTCAGAAAAAAAAACTCATGATTACTGTACCTGGATCTTTTCGGCAATTTGTATCATAACTTAAAGCCTTTAATATATTGTTAAATAACATTTCTTTATTGATTTACATTGATTCAAAGTGCTTAGTATAGTAAGGTACAGTAAAACACCTGGTTGGGCTTAAAACATTTCAAAAGAAGGGGAATACTAATTTTTGAATTATAAATATCGTACTCAGTTTGACATTCTGTGTGGCTTCTCTAAGGACGTAAGGTATTATAACTGCCCATCGCAGAGTTTCCTTGTACGATTGGTCAAGGTATGTCATTGACTGAAGATGTTCTTTTGTGACGTTATCCGTGGGTCCTACTGTGAGGCGGATATCTTCAAACACCCGATCCTGTAAAAATAATGGTTATTAAATAATGTGGTTGAACTGTGTTAATGTAAACTTTAAGGATGTGATTAACAAGATTGTTTGTGAAACGCATTCTCTTGGATACATATTTAAAAAATTACTTAGTAAAATGTAATCTTGTCTTACATTTCACAACAAACTTACATTTCACATAGAAAATATAAACCGTAAATTTGAAGATAACAAAATTAACATACCAATGTGAATGCTTGTCAAATTTTTGTAAACAATTTTACCATACTACCTTTAAACATAAGTTCTCTAGTAGAATTTGTCATAATTTTAACATAGTTTATATGTTAGACATTTCACAATGTTATATACACAATCACTCATCAATACTACTCTTTATTAAAGTACTACCTGTATATCCTGACGTTTTCCAAGGAGCTGAAGACATGTTGCTACCGTGAGTCCAAGGGTATCGGTGCCCAATAAATACAGTCTCATTAGAATCAATGTCGGATGAATGAGGAATATTTACCTTATTGTGGAATATGTGACTGTTTCTAATGCTAAATTAGAGGGTAAGTCCGTAGCGAGACGGATTGTTCGAGAAAGTGATATCAAAGGTGTTTCCAAATTGTTCACACCCTGATGTCTCCATATAAAATCCATCAGTGCAGTCCATTCCTGTGCTGCACTGGCTCATCTCTTGCTATGGTTGATATATTCCAAACACAGTCCCATGTGAACGAAAAGAATCCAGGACTTTTCGAGGCCACTAACCACTTTTTGAATTACAAAAATTTACAAAAATGATTTCGTCATTCCAGTGACGTATGTTGTCTATTATATGTATGCATATGTATGTAAATAAGTATGATAATCAGAGAACGTTGGTAGAAAAAGTTTAACTTTTATATATTTACGTCGTTCTGAAATCACGTGGTCCCTTTGATACCTGCTTCGAGCGGGAAGGATGGGATAGCCCTTAATAACTCACTTATTATTAATTTTAATAATATTTTAGTACAGTATTATTATAATAACACTAGGATTAACTTTGTCTCTAAATACTTAATTAACTAAAAGAGTTTTTGCGAACCATTGAAATAGTTCATGTGTGGCCTTTTCCGCCTTGCTGCATGGTATAATTCTGGCTGAGGTCCAAATTTGATTTGCGAGTAGATAAAATTAAATAATTGCTATTGTTGATTAAAATCTTGGGTTCATAATCCTGTGTAGAAGGATCAACGCATCGTCAAGGCCAGAGGAACCACTTCAACAAATTAGAACTATTTTCTTGTTAACCTGACTAAACTTATTCGTACAAAACAGTTTTTCGTTAGTTTTGTTCCAGTTTTATGCCAATAGAGAATAAAATGAGGGAATTGGAATTGCAGTTTTTTCTTGAGGATGGGCTTTTCTTATGATCGAAGGAAAAAGTAAACACTGTACGGATATTTTCTTACATTTGTATTTTCCTAATTTTCTTCCGCTCTATGCTGTCTCTAATGAGCCTCCATTTGTTCCATGAATACTCTACTACTCAATAGTTTCTAAAGACAAATCTGTAGTACAAATTGAAAACTGATAATAGTATATCTGTCAAACAAGTGGAACTGATATGCCTTTATTTCTTTGGCTGCTATTATTATGAATAAAAAATAACACCAGCAAAAGACCTAGTTTTCGAGAATATTCTTCCTCTTTCATCATATAACAAAGTTATTAAAATTGTACTAAGTTTGCTTATTTTTTTAACTGTTCACAAAAACATCAGATCCTGAAGCTAACTTCAGTAGATTACATTTTATTATAATATCCTGTGTATTCAGTTCATTGCCATCAGAAAAACAAACACTAACCTCAGAAAGGATCTTACTTTTATCAGTTTGCAATGGTGTTTAAAGATTTCATTTTTTTCCTTTTTTTTACATTCAATCGTTTTCGTACTAATTATTATGAAGCAGAATGCACAAAATTATAATTTTCGTATTGTATTTATGAGCAAAACTTGAGTATTGAATTGGATTTATTGATGTGGGCCTTCTTAATCAAATAACGCAGAGATATGACAAGATTAAGAAATACTTGAATAATTAACCTGCTCGAATTCAACCTGCTTCATTCATTAGGTAAATTTTAATTTAAAATTCACACATAATTAACTGTCGTATTAGTATTGTATCTGCAACTGTTTTAATTTCTGTTGTTCAGTAATAAACTAGTGGTCAACCGTCTCTCACAAAAGCTGTGAAACGTTATAAAATAGTATTGTTACTACGTAGCTCCTGAGAAAAGAGAAATCTTAACGTTTTTAATTCAACAATCTTGTCTAAAGCTGTTACAATGATACCACACTTTTACTATGTAACACCTGAGAGAAAATTTGAAAAACAAAAGATCAACGTGAATGAAAATAGTCTTATCTACAGCAGTTACCAGTTTAATCCACACTTTTACAGCCTTCTCAGCAGAGATCTGAAGTAAACCTCTACAAATAAAAGCCCGCCTCTAAGGACCAAGGAGAGAGACAAAGCACAAAGAGAGGAGACAAAAGATCCTTTAGTGTTTCAACAAAGAGAAAAAGAAATTAAACCGTCTCTCTGTCTTTGACCATGCGTCTTTCATTTCGCCGGCTTAAATTACCTGAACATATTGCTCAACATCAATTTAATTCTTCTTAGTTCTAAAACAAGATTTAATTTAAAGTCTTTAGTATGCTGTAAATTGAATTGAACATCCTATGAGTTAAATTGTTGGTTTATTAATTTCTGTTCATTTGTGTACAATATTGTTAGCTAGATATAAGGCCTTTACAACTGATATACACAATGATGAAACTGATATGAATTTAATTTACTTAACTTAAATAGGTTTTACCTGCGACTGATTTTTAAACTAGCACAGTAAATACTGTTTTCACTTAACAGGATTTTTTACTTACTAAATGGCATTATTTTGTTACTTTGCAGTACAAGTTGGTACCCATAAGGTTCAAGGATTAGGAGAAAAAAAGTAAAATTATAATGCTTGTAATAACATCAACTTATCAGCTGTTTACGTCAATTAAATTTATCATACAAATGAGTAAGTGGTTGGGACAATGAGTCGTTGCATCCCAATCAGTGGCAATGAGAGGTTATAAACTGAAACATAACCTCTCTTAGACGTTATGAGTAGTGATTGTTGAAATAGTGTACGCTTTCAGGTTACGCGATCGCTCCGTAAACTGCTATAGACTAACTGGTTGCCCTCCAAACAAGCCTTGGTAGTACGACTACAGCTGTTTCGTGCTGTCAAAAGTTGAGCATTTTTTTAAATCACGAACGTCTTGCTAATAGTCCACAATTTAGAGTTCGTATGGAAATTTAAGTAAGATGGAGAATGCATTCAACCGTTTAAACACTCGAGAAGGACTCACCTTTAACCGGCGCTGCGTCTCGGGCCCAATCAGCGTCTGTTCGACCATGTATTAAAAAAATTCATTTAAAAATGTAAATGTATTTGAAATTTCAAAAATACGTCAAATAACACGTGTAATAAATATATTTACACTTATACTTTTTACTCTCAAGACGGTAAATACATATACAGGATGGTATGTGGTGATCGATTTCGATTGGACACTCCAATCATCATCAGACATTCGAGTGTCCAATTGAAATTGATCACTTACCATCTTTTATACGTATTTACTGTATTGTGTGTAAACAGTATATATATTTAATAAATATATTTAAAACTCAGTAAATGTATTAGTTACAAGTGTTATTTCACTATTTTTGTACTTTTAGGTAATTTAATAACAAGTAGGAGGCTGATAAAGAAGTTATTAAATGAATTTTAAACGTTAAAGATTTTCATCTCGTAGCTTACATTAAAAACTGCAGCTCTACGACAAATGTGCGAGAGGGTAACACAAGCTATGTAAGGATTTCTGGTGTGATTTAGCCCAGAGTCAGATTTCGTAACGGCTTAATGGCCATTAGCAGAAGTACGTGCTGTTAACTCTATAACAAAGGAGTTAAAAATCACAAGGAGTCTTTCCATTAACAGTTCTCTTTTAAAGAGAGTTTTAGTGTACATTGTCACCACGAGGTAATGTGTATCTATATTTAGAAACAAAACTAAAAAGTATTTTACAGAATTTAGATAGTATAGTGTATGAAAATAAGTTTATTCTTTAAAGGGTAATCAAACCTTGTGTTACATGATTTTTTTAAATATCTTTACCTGAAGGACTTTTTCTTTTCTGGTTTTTCGAATTGGAACTCTTATAGTTTTAAGATAGCTCCAAACGGCTACCCAGCATTATTATTTAGAAACAAATAGTTGGTTTTCAGTAGGTTAGAGCTCCGTCACTCCAGGACAAAATACTCACACACTATCAGATCAGCTTACCTTCAATTTCTCCTCAACTATGTGTAAAATATTCTTTTCTTGTACTTGGTATTGAGAGAATAATCTGTGGAAAGGTTTGGGTTCATTATAGAGTAGTTTTCAAATCTCAAAAACGTTTCATCACAATGTAATGGATATTTTTTTTATTTCATAAGCTAGATGCTATGAAAATAAATAATGTAATTAATAAAAAGTTTAATAATTCGAAATGAGTTCTCAATGTTCTTACATTTAAACCAATAAATAGATGATAGAAAATTGTGAAAACATTTTAAATGCTGATACAAGAGTTTGTCATTTACTTCGTTAGTTAATGTAGATTGATAGCTAAATCATATTAATAAGGCTCGGTAATAAAGTTTATGTGCAATTTGTATTATGTGTTAATTGTTTCCAAGATTTCAAAGAACAATGTTCCTTTGCTTTGATATCAAAGTTCTAAAATCTAGTAAAACTTTTCCAAGAAGACTTTTTATTATGTTGGAAAAGGACCAGGAACAAAACCAGATTTATAATAAAACAGTAAGATTCAAGACTATATTTTAGCAAACTTAGACTAAATTACATATCACTCACGGTACTATTTACACCATTGTACAGTTATCTTCAACATCCTGATAATGCAATAATGCCAGCTGAGGAATGCAAATCAACTACCAGAAAGGATAACACCAAACATTAGTGGATAAACGGTAACATAGAGCCACGTAGAGGATTCACCGATACATAACGCTAAATCAAGCTGTACAGTAACCATACAGGCACATAAGGGGTAACATTTTGGAGATACTTATGAGGGAAAACATATGCCAATTGCAACTGTAGATAATATCAAGTTTTCTGATTCTAATTAGAAAATCCTAAACTGTTCTATCAACCAATTTTCTATCTCCTATCTAACTATGCACGATTAAACATATTTTCAGCCAAGTAACAACAATCTATCGATTTGAACCTCCTCTAAAGCCGTCTATACTCTGTTCACTAAAAGGGCAAAAATATAACAGATTTGACTTAAAAAATAACATTTCAATATTTCTCTAATGATTAATTATTGTACCGATGGTAACGACAAATTTATTGGAAGATCTCAAGTAGCATTCGACTTTATACAACGAATACGCTAGCACAGTCTGATTTGTCTGAAAACTATATTACATACTCGCATACAAAATCTATACACCCATAGTTTGTTGCAACTATGATTGGTAGTTGGGGTTGTCGACCCCTACTCCCTGTATCCTGACATCCAAGGTGTTCTTGTGATCACTAGCGCTCCTGGCGGGCTGGTGGGGAAGTAGGAAGTGGTTGGGACGGCAGCCGAGAATGTGCAGTTTGTTGTCCAAGTTGAACCTGGGACTCTCATGAGTTATGTTGGAGAAAGAGTCACAAATCTCCGGGAGTGCTGAGTTACTCAAAGCTCCAAATCCGTAAACTGGCTGTCTGGTGCTCTCCAACGGATCGGGAATGGATGGAGGTTGACAATCGTCTATCCATGAACCAGAGCTTGGAGCAGTTCTGTCCACAAAGTTTCCGGAGTAAATCACAGTCAGGGGACCTCCGATGGATGGAGTTGGTTCTTCTCCCATTCTTTGATGCCTTGGAAGGCTCCATGGAGGTGTGAACCGTGGTTTCGCTCCAGACCAGGGCCAGTTGATTGCAGCAGTTCGTAAATACCTCCAAAGTCCGAAGAAGAACGTAACGAGAATCGCTAAAGCACATGTTCCTCCGACGATCACATAAATGATCAGCTCAATGTCCATGTGGCGGTCGTTTACTATCATGGAAGTGGCTGATGGTGAATCCTCCATTTGGATAGGCTGTTGTGACCTCAGTGATAGAAATCGTACTACATGATACTCTTCTCCAGAGAGCTCTAAAAGAGTCGCGTTTGTCTCGGCGAGCTTATGCAAGGGAGCTTCTTCCTCTCCGAAAATCTTGTCCTCGAGATCTAGTTCTTCGTCCAGATCCTGATTGCCCCCTTCGTTTGCAGGAACTACACTAACATTGACCATCAGTCGAGGAGGTGCTAAGATAACTCTGTTTACCTTCACCTCATCATATTCTAAGCTCAGTCTTGCTGCTAGGTTTAGTTTGAGATACTTTGCAAAATCCTTTTGTCTCAGTTTTACAATTGTGGAATTTCCAGCTAGAAGAAGTATGAACCATCGTCCAGGAGGAGGAATCACATCTCGATTGGAACTGTCCATTTGATCGTGTCCTTTTATAACCATGTCTTCCAACATTTTTTCTTGTTCTTCACTGACTGTATCCCATTCCTTGAATAGATTTTTCTCTTTTTGGTTTCCGTCCGCACTTTGTTCCGCATTCCTCAAATCGTTGTTTTCTTGTATCACATGATGATCTCTATCGTTTTTCGGAAACAAAATGTCCTCACTAGGTCTAGATTTTATTTTCCCAAATTGGAAAACCTCTTTACTCTCTGTGATCTCACGTTCTTCTTGTTCACTCCCAAAACGCTCTTCCTCCTCCTCAAAATTATGCACTTCAAAATTTTTAAACGTCGTCGTTGTTTCTTTCCCTTTGAAAACTGTTTTACCACTATCCTCCTTCTTCAATAGATCATGAACTTTGCGAACTGCAAGACCTGCGATAATATTTTCTCTCTCCTCATTTGTAACATTTATTGACTTGTCTGTCTTGAATTCCGTTCTGACCTCCCCGAAAATTACAGAAAACGGATCAGAAGTGTCATAAATAATTTTTGGTCGGTAAGTTTTTGTTTTGTTTGACAAACTTTTCATTATATTTTTTGTGATGTTACCCATTGCGGATTCTGTGTTGTGACTTTCTAATTTTCGATCCGTCGGGTAGAGAATCAATTTTCCCTGCACGTCTGAGTGGTTTGCTCGATTTTCCCCAAAAGAGTCATCACTTGACTTATCTGTTGACGTCATCAATACCTGAGGTGTCGCAGCTGATTCTTCTCCGTTATTTCTTCTCGCACCTTTTGGAGCTTTAGAAACGTACTCTGTCTGTGAGGAGTTGGACCCCTCGACACTGTTCTCTATCTGGTTGGCCATGGTAGCCGTAGTGTTTGCATTTTCCAGGTCACCAGGCGTGGATGATCCGAAGGGCTCCGCCCCCAAGACCAGGTGTTGTGTCAGATCCCCGACGTGGTCCCATAGGAGGTCCCGCTCTCCTACCCCGGGTGCCCGAAGGTCCTCTTGGTCGGAGGTCACGGTAGTTTCCTTCACGGCATTGGTGGGTTCGTCGTGGTTAACCTGGGTGTAGCCTAGAACAGATCATATAGAAATGAGTTAAAAGACTAATTTTGATTAATAATTAAATGGATGAAAGGTTATGTTTACATTATGTTGCTTAAAAGAATACGTTTTAAAAATATGTTCATATCTAAACAGTTTATTTAGATTTTAAACTTTTAAACGAACGGAATAATTTTTGGTATATCATTATACATTTTGGTTTGTAATTTACAGACATTCGTTACTCATACATTTGCCAATGTTTTGCAGTGTGATGAAAGTTAGTATTTGTAGTGGTTTCGTTTTCTAGTTTTCAAATGAATTGAAACATTGGAAAACTTTACAACCAAGTAGACTAACTGGTTTTTAATTCGCGTTGCAAAAATATTCACCTTTTTAAATGTCGGCATTCCTTATAAAATTACAAACTACCGTAAATTCAATCCACGCCCATCTCTCCTGAATTCATAATACAGTAATGGCAATTTCTAAGTTTCCTATAGTAGTTTTCATTGAACTTATATATATATATATATATATACAGGGTGATCAACTCAAGGAGGCCACCATTGGGATATCGGAAACGGTAAGAATTAGAGAAAACTTTAAATGGGGGACATTCCTTTATTTTTTGTGGCAGTTAAAAATATGATTTTATTTTTTCGAAATTCAGCCGCCATTTTCCAAAATGGCGGCCAACTTTGGAATTTCTTATGGAACACCCTTTATTTTATTACGTTTTCGGATAGAACAGGCAATTTAAAAACTTTTTTATTCTTGACATTTTTTCGATAAACCCACTCGTTTAGGAGTTACAGCCTATGGAAAAATGACTTCCGGTTTACATTTTACATCATGTAGCTCCTAAACAAGTAGGTTTATAGCGAAAATTCGAAAAGTAAATAAGTCAAATAAGTCTTAAAATTGCATCCACATTCCAAAAAGACCATAAAATTCGTTAAAACTATTAATTCTATTATTTTAAAAATGGCGGCCATTTTCCAAAATGGCGGCAAACTTGAAAAGTGGAAAACTGTGTATTTTATGGTCTTTATGGAATGTGGATGCAATATTAAGACTTCTTTGACTTATTTACTCATCGCATTTTCGCTATGAACCTACTTGTTTAGGAGCTACATGATGTAAAATGTACAACGGAAGTCATTTTTCCATAGGCTGTAACTCCTAAACGAGTGGGTTTTTCGAAAAAATGTCAAGAATAAAAAAGTTTTTAAATTGCCTGTTTAATCCGAAAACATGATAAAATATAGGGTGTTCCATAAGAAATTTCAAAGTTGGCCGCCATTTTGGAAAATGGCGGCTGAATTTCAAAAAAATAAAATCATATTTTTTACTGCCACAAAAAATAAAGGAATGTCCCCTATTTAAAGTTTTCTCTAATTCTTACCGTTTTCGATATCCCAATGGTGGCCTCCTTGAGTTGATCACCCTGTATATATATATATAAAACTTGTATATATACAATGAGCAATAGTTAATTTTAACTTATTCACTCAAAAACTCGTTTTAGGGGTCATTTTACAATTTAATTGATTGATTTAGAACAAGCTAAAGCAACAGATGATGCCGAAATTTCCTCTATTATTTCATTTGCTAAGCCAACATGCTGTTAAATAAAACAAATAAAAATAGTTTTTTTATAGACTTTCGTTTATATTAAATTTTGAATGTATGACCAAAATACTTACTAGTTGTAGGTGCCACGGAGGAAGGGGAGAAAGCTAAATGTAGAACAAGCAGTAGTAGACATCTCCAGGGCGACATCGTACTGGACAAACTCACATCTTCTGGAACAAAACCCCTTCAATTAACACCTTATAAGATGTTACAAAGCTTCTTTATTGCAAAAAAAAAATGATTCGGTATGCATAATTAGGGACAATTAACAAACATAGACTATCTGCCTCAGCCTTACAGTTACTTCAGTAAATTAAAAAACAATTTATGATAAAATATAATGATTACGTTTCCCAACCTCAGTTGTTGATATGGCGAATTTCGTTCCTTAGAACTTCATCAGGTCAAATCTAAGGAGCTTTGTGTAGTCAGTGGCAGTGATAGCCGGTGATGGCCAGCACGTACAATTTTAATCAGTTTAATCAATTTTTATTCCGTGTAAACTATTTTATCAACATGACAAGTTTCAATTATTGTGATTATGACAGTTTTTAAGAAATCTATTGACATAGCACATAAAAAAATTTATTATGTGGTTTCATACAAAATGACCTGATGAAGTTCTAAGGAACGAAACTAGTCGTCATACCAAAAACTGTGGTTGGACAAGACAATCATTTTATTTTATCAATATAACATTCCAACCAAGAGTTACGACGTTACCAAAATTTACCGCCGTAATAATAATATAATAGGCCTACTCAATTAACCAAATTTAGATTACTATCAAGCTTTCTAATAGGCTCAAACAATAACCAATGAAAGACGTTATTCCAAATAGCCTAGGTTGTTGTATAGTTGCAATAAACACCGATCCTCTTGATGCTTTGCAATTTCAAGGTAATAATAATTAAAATTCTAATAAATACCTCTCTAATTAATAACAGATTTAAGTCAAATTTCATTATTGACTAAGTTGAGATAACCTACAATACGTACACTTACCGTTTCGATATCATAACGTCTGCCGATACAACTTTTACTTTCATCAAAGGCCGTAATTAAATTAGACTCCGACTAATCATTCTTTTATTTAAATTATCCTATAGCTGTGATTTGTTTTAATTACTGTAAGATTACTTAAATTCATATTAAGAATAACTTTATACGGATGTCTATTTACAATCATCACTAACATAACCTCCAGGACATGACATTTGACAGACATCGGCACCCGGCCCGGTTTGAGAATTGAGTGAGAGGAAGTAAAACTTACTTACTTGAATACTTGAATACTTGTTGTCTTAATCTTTGACCGAAGTATATCGGATAGATTGCGTCGTTATACTAATATTTACAAAATTACTATATACAAAACTTGTTTTACAAAGTATCATAAACTTAAAAACTTGAACTTGAAACTTAGGCTGTGGTAAGCGTGTCTATTTCTCAACCTGGCATCAAAGGATCATTTGACAACTCGTCAAGACTATACAGGGGCCTATTTGTGAGCAAGTTCTTCAGCTCGGACTTAAACGCTGTACCGTCAAGGTTCCTTAGGTGGTTTGGAAGGGAGTTGTAGATTTTGATAGCCGATCGGGGGTATCTCCTGTATGCATGTAAATATGTGATATAAACAATCACATTACGTCATATAGTTTTTTCTGCGCGGTACGTACTCCGGTATCATGGCAGGGCGGTATTTTTGAAAGAGAGAAGACTTCTCTTGCTAACTCGGTTTTTTTTAGCTGGAAGAGTAGAGTCCTCAAAGCTACATTCGGCAAACACTACACTCGGCTTTGTGCTGGAGTTGGTAAGAGCTGAAAGTTGGCAAATTAAACTACAGATTAGGGGTTTTTTTAATTAGCAAAATTTAAATTTCTTTCTCAGTGATTACATTATTGCGAGTTAGGGAATTGTTGAGTCATTAATATTTTGCGATATAATTTAAAGTAGATTTTTTCAATTTCAAGTTAAATATTTATGAATTTTTAATGTTTGTGAATTGTTAGTGAGAAAGATCACTGTGATAATTATTTAATAAGACTGAATGTTAGATTTAATAAATTTGTTGAATAAATATTTGGTTGTTACAGCATAAACTCTTGACTTATTATTGTAGGGACACGCTCTCATCTCTCTAGATATAAATAAAGAGAATACAATATCATAATAAGCTTTGATAAGAAACAACCCCACTCATTAAATCGGCTGGCAAAGAACCTCTCCCTGAAGATAGCTCATTGCTCTACAAAAAAAATAGCTAGGGTAACAAAATAACCAAAATTTTGAGTTAGAGTGTTGTAGAGTAACAATGAATAATAAACATTTTATTTTAAATCTAGTGACAGCAGATATCATTTACTAATATTCATAAACTACACAAAGAAATTATTGAATAAACACGAAATTACAACAACTTTTGGTAACTTTATAAATGGACAATGTCCTTAAATCCCCCCCCCCCCGTATTTTTGTATAGAAAAACTAAAACAAAGCGGAATCATATGTACAACATTTATTTTACTGGAGGTGAAACAGCGATTTCACTTTACAAACCCAAAAGATTCACGCTCTAACACCCTCATTGTCCAACTACAACTCTCAGCGGAATCAAGACCCCACAAAGGTTACCCACTAAGTTTGAATAACGCAGGGGCTTACAATACAATTACTAAACTCCATTTTGTAACAGTGACTGTGCAAAACACACCAAAACATCTAAGACTATTACGACACAAAACCGCTGAGCAAAATACACAATTATATTAATAAGTTATTTGGATTGGTATAGCTTAGTTCAGACTCAGAAAAATAGTGAAGGCGATTGAAGGTTATTAAGTGGTTATGGGGTCAACATACAAAATTAAATAACTCTAATTGTTATGGAAGGCACGTAGTTTTTACAGGACTCACCACACGTTCCAGTGTATTTATGGTTCAGATGGTTTCGTATCTTAGTGCATGTTAGGTTTAGGGTTGTAAATCTGGTGGACTATTAATTTAAAAAATCGGTCATGCAGTGAACAATTGTACGATTAACTTTTTTTTTTTTATGACCTTAGAGGCCAAAATAATAATGGACACAACTCCAAAAATAGTTCATTTAAAATTCCCATGTTATTGTTTACGAGAAAACGTAAATTTCTGCATCTTGCTTAATTTTGGATATATTTTGACCAAACTGGAAAAACGTACTTATTTCATAGTATACTTATAATGTTTTACGAGAAAAAAACACTTTGTTCTTTTCTTGTAAAACAAACCTAAAGTACCCGTTAAAACTAATGCTATTAAAATGAGGGATAAATTTGACAAGTTTAAGGAAATATTTAAGTAAAAAACAAATCAGACAAATGAATTTTTTTTGTCTGCAGGTTTGCTGAGGGGATATTATATATAGTTTTGGTCACTTAGCAAAAGCAATTTTGCATTTAATACCGTAAAGCTATTAACTGAAACCGAACTTCAATGATAATCTAAGGGTTTTGATGTACGTTCATCGCTATAAATGCCATACTTGAAGGTACTCTTACAAGGTATATGGGCATGAGAGGGGCCGTGTAAATGTCAAGTATGTTTGTAATGTAGAGCCAGCAACAATAACCTTACACCGTAGCTTAGGTGACGATCAATACAGCCGTGAGGACGGTCCTTGATAGTGAACTTGACGACGAATCTCTTGATTGAGAAGCAATTTGTTTCTAATTAGTAAAAAAACATTTTCATCTTATTGCAGCCAAAACTAGGGTAAATACAAGATTCCTTTTATCCAAAGGAGAACTTGACGACGAATCACTTGGCGGAGAAGCAATTTGTTTCTAATGAGTAAAAAACATTTTCATCTTACTGCAACCAAAACTGGTGTAAATACAAGATTCCTTTAATCCAAAGGAGAAAAGATTTAGCTGTATTAGCTATACGAGTATAATGTATGCCTACTATTCCATAAAGTAGACACATGTTTGTGAGACAAATCGTCCCGAAAAAATTACAATACCGCAGTTTGAATAAACTTGAGTTTATTATTTTGTTACGTCGTATTTTACATTTACTCCACTATTTGTTTTTTCTACGTGTATACGAATTAGGTATAACAAATATATTGTAAAACTTAATTTTAAATTATAAATGTGTTGGAGCAATGCTTATGCATATAAATAACGGTAACGAATTTTCATGTTAAGGGGCAAAATCAGATAGTAACCATTTTTGGAGCCTATTTATAAAGGTGAACAATGTAAAACATTTGTATTTCTTTGGGTTGGTTAGTTTTAAGAAAGGTAATGAAAAATACAATGTGTCACTAAAAAAATTTAAAAACCTATACGCTTGTTTTTGAACGTCATAACACCTTTTAACTTTTCTAGTAACATATTTCTATGGTAGCTGACGTATTTTGCCTCTAATAACTTAATACATAATGATTCTGAGTATACGTAGTGAATTTGGTTTCATCATTATCGTTTCTATAGAGACAACTGTAATATCCTTTAAGCAACATCAAGCAGGATCCAATAATGATGGAGTCTAAACTTATCAATGAGGGCTGACATTTGGCTTCAATAGGAAGATTAGAAGGGATTCTGCAATATGCTCCATCCTTGCTGAGACATTCTATGTCAGCTTATTAGAAGCATCTTCTTTTCAGTTCTTATAGGATTATCAGGGTTTTGTAATATCAACCTAAATTATTATAATTGATTGGATTTGACCGCAAGGATTTGACTGCGCGTTTTTTTAATATTTTGATTGTATAAATGTCTGCAAAAAGAAACAAAAGAAGGTAGATGTAGTTAATTATTGATCACTAGTTCTATTCCAGTCTAAAAACTTTTATTTTATTTCATTAGGCATCTACAATACATGAGCTCAATTGTGTGAACCCGCTAAAATTTACACGGGTTGGCTTTAGTATAAAATTAGTCCTTTTACTAAAGGATAACTGTTTCGACATACCAAATATCGACTTTTCGAAGGTAATATACTGTGATCATAATAGCTCCAATTTACAATATCTAGAATGATAAATTACAAGATATTTGAATATTCTTTGTTCAAATATTGGAGGAAAGCAGATATTAATAAAGAACTTTTCAGGTTCGACGATCAGGCCCAAGTAATATCCCTTCCCTCCCCCCATATTACCCTTCTAAATCTTTCAGCTGAA